CTTTGAGCATCGCTTCCTGGCTTCAGTGCAGATCCCTCAGTCTATTCGCACAGATCATTCATCCCGACGGACACACTTTCTAGCTTCCACCAGTGACCTTTGGGCCTTCCCAGCACAGATCCATGAGACAGACTTGCCTGAGACACTGTCATAGGCTCTAGGTCTTCATCTGGACTCATGCAGGACATTGCTGTGGGATCTGGACCCTCAGCTGGATTCTTTAGTATGTGGACAGATTTCCTGCACTACTTTATATTTGAATCTTTGAGTAATTATTATAAAATAGATCTATAAATTATGTGTCCTGCATTAAATTGTTTTCATTGCAAACCCTGGCTACAATAAACTGTATGACGTGACTTGTTCCTTTCTGGGATACAGCTTAGAGTGAGTATATATATTAGATCATCAGTGTTCAAACTAAGGAGAGATGAGTCCTTGCCAAACTAGAGAAGAAACTATCTACTAGCTGTCCTTGTTTGCAACACTTTCCTTGTTTGCAACAACTCCCAATCGAACAGGTTGCTTGACTAAGTTGTGCCTGAGTTTTAGCGCCCCTGGGCTACCCATATCTCCAAGTAGGATGGATAGGGTAAGGTGCACCTGAGAACCTAGCTGGGACCATAGAAAAAAGCAATGAGGAAAATTAGTATGGAGGGCAGGAGAGGGCATGGCCCAGCTGGTATCCAGCTAGGGGTCACACACAGGACCTAGGAGGCTTCCTTTTGCCCATGGGAGAGGATTTTGGGTCTAAGCCACCCTCAGGGCTCAACATGCACTGAGCAAAATAGGGAAGGAGAACAACAGCAGAATACAGCTGCAGAAGCATAAGGGAGAGAGGGCACTAATGAAGAGGCCAAGAAGCCAGAGTTCAAGGACACATCTGTCCCCAGCTGCCCAAGCTCCTGTTCTCAGCTTCCTGGGCTTGAGAAACAACATCTGGTCTGCTGGGATGTGGCACACCTGCACCACCTGCTCTGCTAGGTCCCAGTGTACCTAAAAATAGTACAGCATTAGCTGCTGCTGTGGCCATGTAGTCACTGCTACTCTGCTAGTCTTGCTACACTGATCCCTTGTTCTCCTTACTCAGTTTAAGCCATCTATAAAAACGCAGCTAGATACACTTGAGTCACACTCTCCTTTGGAGTTACTCAAGGAATTTCCATTCAGAACCCTAAATTTAGGCTATGTTCCTTTAATGGGTCACCACCATTTACCTAACAGACTCAGACTTTGCTCTCATCCTGAGGTCATAATTCTCCCCATTCATAATTCATACCAGAGAAGGTATTGAAATGAAACTAGGTGCTAAGCAAGAAGCTGACAAACAATGAGATAAACAATGTTTACTTTTTTCTTAAAGGACTGAGTTGAAAGCAATTTTTAAATTGCAAATTGCATTATATTTTAACTGAAGTATGAAATTCACCTCTCAATTATTTCACTTTGTTTGTTCCAGGTAACCAGCAGCAGGAAAACAAGATTCCTTAGGGAAAAATACAGGCCTACATGTACTCTGCACATTCCAATTAAAGTGAGTATAAAATTTGCAATCTTACTCTGTAAATTATATAAGAATTAGAAAAGAACTGAAAAAATACAAGTACTGGACATTCATATATCAACAAGATGAGTTCTAAATGGAGTGATTATGTAAAAAAATGAGACACAACAAGCTTAAATGTTGAATCTGCACCAATATCGATTTTAAAAGAACCTATCAATAGCATGTCAATGTCACTAATTCATGCTGAGGCACACCTGATAGCATTAAAAATATTCATGCTAATTTTCAAGTCAGTTCCCTTGGCTAAGCACTGAACATGCTGGAGTCAATGAGAAAGGGGTGTTTGATAGTTTTCAGTCATTGGTTATGCACTGAGCCAGTGCTACTGAATCAGATATCCACTGCTGCATGGATACTCTGACACTGATGCTTAAAATAACAAACATTACACAGTTTCTGTGTACCAAGAAGCCTGGTGGCTTACCCAGGTGGTTCTGATTTAGCACCTCTCACATTACACTTCAGGTCTTAGCCAACGACTGTATTCATCTGATTGCAGGGATTGGAGGATCTTTTTCCAAAATTGTACAGTCTTGTAACTAATGGTAGGAGACCTCAGTTTCCTGCCAGGCCTCTTCACAGGATGGCCAGATAGATATTCACGATATATATAATAATGCCTAGAAGATGGGTTTAGCACAGTTCTGTGTGTGTCTGGATGACTGACTTACTGAAGAGGAAAGACCACCCTTGGTGTGGGTGGCACCAACCAGTTGACTTGTTGCCTCGATGTAATAAAAGAGAAAAAAGAAATCCTTGCTCTACTTCTTTGGAGAAGCTCCAGTCTTTGCCATCACCTTGGGATATCTGTCTCCAGGCTTCTAAAATAGGCTCTTCAACACAGATCCTGCAGCTTCCCTATACATGCTTACATAGGACTCTGCAGTGAGCTCCAGGCCTTTGAATGTTGACTGAATTCCTCAGACTCCCCAGCTTTCAAGCAACCCTTTGTATTTTTCCACACCTGATTCTGAAGGTAGCCATGTAAGCTTACCTTGTAAGTCCTTTATATTCATGCATACTTTATATTAAATCTGTCCTTCTAGTGAACCTTAACTGATGTAATATGGCAGTTGGTTTCTCAGAATACACACACACACACATGCACGCATGCATGCACACGCACATATACATGTGCAGAGAGAGAGAGAGAGAGAGAGGGAGGCTCATTCATTATACTTTGCTACAACATCAAAAGTGACATCCACCTCTTCTGCAGTATTCTATTGCCCATATAGACCTCCACTAGACAAAGTGTGAGTGGGTATACACAAGTATAGATACCAGAAATTTTGACTTATTTAGAAATACTTTGGAGGCTGTCCACCACAACTTCTTTTAAAGGAATTCAACAGACCTTCAATGTTGGTATATGTTATCTGTGCTATTTGAATATGAAAAAAGTGAACCTAAGTATAAATGTCTTTCATATAAATAAGTTGTCCAAAATATAGTGTAAGTTTAAAGCTTTGTTTGCTGTTTCAAGATAATTAAGCTTCATAAAATCCAAAACTTTGTCAATCCTGGGATGCAAATTTTAATAAGATGTCCCCTGATAACACTAAATTGTCTTGTTTGTTCAGTTGAAGATAAGTTTCACATTGCGGTGTTATTGAAACCTGAATTAAATAGCTATCTAATCCACTTACTGCTAAAATCAACAGAAAATGCTGCGCTTTTTGCTGATGAATGGTTGCAAGCTGGTCTGTGCAAAAAGAATGGAAGCTGATAATGCATCTGCTCCCAATATGAATGTGGCACTGACTGCCACAGCACAAATTCTTTAAATTTCAGCATGGCTGTGTTCTATGAGACCCATAGTGATTCATTTCTCTTGTGCTCTCTGTAATTTGAACCACTGTGCAATCTTCCTTTTCAAAATGCTATGTCATTTGCCATTGCTTGGCTCAGAGAGACCATCATTGAAAATGCAAAATAATTACTAAAGTTATACAGGAGGACTAAATTTTAAGGTGAATCTCTAGATGATGCACAACATATGTACAGTAACTTTATGATCACAGAAATACAAAAGTGGCCGCAACTTGTGTCATCCTGATGTAAATGTTTTTCCAACATTAAATTATATCTTGATGTCTAGGTTTATCCTCAGTCAAATGAAACAGGCTCATTGTATACTTATCGATCCATCAGCTATGTTATCCAAAAAGTAAGACACTAAAGCATCAATGGAGAGACTACAGCTATGTCCCTACCACTAACACATATCTCCATTATCCATGCAAGGCTCCTCTAGATCCAGCAGCCTTCTCTGCTGCCTTCTCTCTGGATAGACCCCCAGTACTATCCAGATGGCAAAACACAATTTGAAAGGCATAACCAAAAGGGTAGAAGGACAGGAAGCAGTGGGAGGCCAGTGACATCATAAAGTTGGCTCAGCATTGGAAATTAGTCTCCATATGTTTGAGAGGATTTTCAACCAATTGGCATGTCCCTTCCTTCCAGCATCCAGGAAATTTTCTCTGGGAATTCTCCAGGTTTGACACTGAGAATGGTTTTCAAAGGCAGTAGTGAGACTCCGACCCCAGACATCTGGACTGGAAGTCAGAGCTCATCAGGACTCCTTGCCCATCTGAGCAGATAAAAGAATCCTTACAAAATTACTCTGCAATATGGAAGATCTCTTGGCTATGACCTCACATAAACCCTAGGGAAAGAGGCCCTGGCATTGGCTTCTCTAGCTCAGTCTGCTGAATTTACTGCAGCTGACACTGATGCCAGCCAGCACTAGAGAGGCACAGGGCATGGAATCTTGCCGCTTGTCCTCTCTCTTGCCTGCTATTAGGAAATGAATGACCACTTACTCATTGAAAAAGACAAGCAAATCAAACCCCTCTCACACACAGATGAACATGCACCCATGGCAGACCGATGTCACAGCACAAGTGAAGCTGCCTCTCTTCATGGAGAAAGCTTCTGTCTTCTCTGCTCTTCCTAATCAGGATATTGCCCTTGGGTAGTTTTCACAAGGACTAGAAAGCTCAGTGAAGCTGAGTATTTGTGTACAGAGGTTGATTTGCTCCAGTAAACTTCTTTTTAAAAACAGACTTTTAAATCCTTAAAGATTTTTAGGGAAAAAAATAATGAAGATACAGAAATTGTTTTGTTAGGAAGTCCCATAGGATGAAATTCTCTGATACGCTCTGGGTCCAGCTCAGGGTGGGTAGTTCCCAGAAATCCATTTGATTGAGAGTCACGTTCATTGTTGCTGAGCTACTGCAGGGAATTCAAACCAAAGGAGGATGAGGAAATCCTTACTGAGCTAAGCCAAACCGGGTTAGCCCACAGGAAAAGCTGATTTACTAGCAACAGGCTTGAGTCCCTTGGGCAGCAATTCCATGCAGCTCAGGGACAATCAGACTCACCTCTCATTGCTAACATAAATGCATCCTACAGATGCCACTAAGGGAATCATTAAAAGTGAGCTGTACTGTTTTTGCTTTAGCTGTGTGCCACCCAGGCTGGGAGGAGCCAGCAGTATTGAGAATCACAGTAGACCTGCAGCCAGAGAGTAATTTAAAACACTGCATCATTGGGTTGTCAAGGTAACTGGCTAGGCTGCCTTTCTGGACTTCTGTAAACACAGGTCCTCTAGACAAGGACTGAACCACACCAAGGAGCCTGCAGAGAAATGGCCTGTAGCCTTGAATATGACCACTAGCAACCTCTTTGCTCAGAAAGGTTACACTCATGCTGGGATATTACTTCTGGGCTGGATGATGTGCTGAGACTCAGCAGTCCAACAACACTCACTGACCACTGTGAGATGAGAAAGGCTGTCCAAGGACATTCCAGAAGAACCTTTTCCTTCCTGTTGTCACCCTATCATCTAAAAGAGATTGTGAAGCACATAAAAGGCAAGCATTCATTCGCTGAGAGTTACAAGCTCCAGCTTCCCTGTTCATTTTAGGATGGGATCCTGTGTTTGAAGTCTACCCAGTACTACAAACTGGGTGGTTTTAAACAACGGAAATTTGTTTTTTCATTGTTCTTCATGCCATAAGTGCTGGCAGGGCCGTGCTCCACCTGAAATCTCTCGGTAAGTATTTTCCTAAGGCCAAGTGGTCCTTGGTTTACAGCTGCATCCATTTTAACACCAGTCTCCTCTCTGTCTGTGTCCATCGTTATGCTCTATGCTTATCGCCCTAGTAACCAAGCACCAACCACACAGTTATAGATTAACTGACCCTGTCATGCTGTTCTGTATGCGTCCTTTCCCCCCACCCCAAAAACCTGTTTGCTGTGTCAACCTTTGTTCTCCTTGTAAGAGACAAATGATGCTGTGTCAACCATTGTTCCCTTTATGAGAGACAAATGTTCCTGGAATTGGCAGACCAAGGGCTATGAATTGGCTAACCATCCGCTGTGAAATGCCTCTGACCTCAAGCAAAGGGGAACAAAGGCCCACCTTGTTTCTGTTTCTCATCACTATGTACTTAATGATCAATGAACTAATCATAAATGAACTATAAAAATCAGTCAAAATTCTGACTCAATTGCACAGCTTTGCAAATTCCATCTGCACTGTGTCACTGGGCCAGCTAAAATAAAAAGTGCTTCTTTAGAAAAGACAACATCTTGCCCTGTTTTTCATCTCAAGGGGCCTTTTTTTGGGAGGGGTTACAACATCGATGTCCAGATTTTCCTCTTATAAGAACACCAGTCATACTGGACTTGGACACACTTAATGAGTTCATTTTAAAAGGTTTACACCTGCAAAGATGCTATTTTTAAATTAGATCCAACCTGGGTTCTGCAGCTTAAGTCTTCAATATTTCTTTAATATATCTTTCTGAGGGTAAACAATTCTGATAACTTTTCACTTTGCACAAAGACACATGCATGCAGGACTTGACCAAACCCTACAGTAGGCAGGACAGATCCTCATTGTGTTCCCTAACCACAAACTACTGGAATATGAAGTAGAAAATCAAACCAAAGCCACGCTGTTAAAATGGAACCACTGATGAAATGGAGAACACAGGTGTAGCTTTAAATCAAGTCCAGTTAGTGACTGTGAGCCTATTGACAGATTCATTATTGCTCCTGTCCCTTTTCCTGCTACTAAAGGCAGGTCTGTGGCACCGGAAGATCATCAGTACAGTCAACTGGGAGAAGTTGCCCTTCCTGCCACTTTCATAGAGAGTTATCTTGAACTGAAGGCAAATGATAGGAAATACACGCAAGAAAATCTTTCTACCTTCCTCCTCCTCCTACAAATGACCTAATTCTTAATCACAGTAGGCAAGTCTGTACCCTCATCAGCCAGGAGCCTCCACAGAAAGAATCTACATACAAATTTCCTAAGTCAACTCTACTTTTCTCATACTTTTCCACATTTAGCTACTTCCCCACAATTCACTGTCTCAGAATTTCTGAGTCCTTTTCTTTTGTGTTGTCACTTTTCTGAAAAAAAAAAAAAAAAGTTCTTTTACTACATGTTATATAAGCTCATTTCTAACAGTCCCTTTGAGTTACTATCTGCCTGCTACTGCCTTATCTGTGTACAGGGCACATTCTTACTAACTTGTATTTATTTTTCTCTTATTTATGTCTTTATTTTACAAGTCAAATTTAGAGGATCCATGTCAGAAAACCTAAGGTGGATCAAGAAAGGCTGTCCAAACCATGTCAGGAGAATCTTACTCCCCAAAGTGAAGATACAGTGTATTATCTTGGTTTTTTGTTCAGTATTCATCTTGCAGATCTCTAGACCAGGCAAGTGTTTCTCACCCTGTGAGTCATTCATCCTGAGCAGCCCAGGAGATAAAGCTCTGGTATGATGTGCCTGCTTTTGCTCTCTTTCAACAAATGTTATTCCTGCAGAGTAAGCCAGGAGCGTTTGCATTGTCTTAACATCAGGAGCTCGCCAGAACACTCTGGAAAAGTATTCTTGTGAAATGAAGCAACAGGGTGGAGAATTCCATTTTCAGAAGCATGAAAGACCTGGAGGCTGTGCCCTCTCCCTTTTTAGCATCCTGCAAGAAGCACAGGGGAAGGAAGCCACAGACATTTTTTTGCCAAAAGTTAATCCTATGTTGTTTAAAACAATACCATTAACAACCTGATTAAGGCCATTGATTCTGAAACAGCAATTTTCTTTGCAGAATTAGGTCTATGGTTAATTTCAGATGATAACAGTCTATTGGGCAGATAAAACAGCGATAGGAGAATATATTTCCCTCGGCCAAAATGAAGGCAATAGAAACAAGGAGAGATTTCATGTTCAACCCAAAGTTCTTTCCAACCTTCTTGTATTATCTTTTACCCATAGTGAAACCAACTTGGTCCTAGGAAAATTGTTACCCTCATAGAATCACTTACTTGTGTTTATGTGCAAATCTCATCAAATCTCTGCAGACCCCAAAGGAAGTGAGGTAGTCTAATACCTCAGGTTGCAGGGATGATGGTTCCACTCAGTTTTTCTCTCACATTCTTCCTCTTTGGTTCTAGGCAAGTCAGTGAGTTTCTTTGTGCCCTAAAATGGGGGAATATAAACACAATGAAGTTTAAAAGAGATGCTCAATAAACGCTACCTTCTATTATTAGGTAGTGTACATACTCTTAGCTATAAAAGGTACATGAGATCCAGAATGACTAGATAATGTGCTCTGGTCATACTTCTGTGAGAGCCAGGAATTAAGCCAAAATGGCCAGAATGTAAGCTCTGTCCCCTTCAACCTCAGCATTGACTATCTGGCACGACAGTCTGTGCCAGTACTGCTTTCAAGGTTACCTAGCCTCGGTACTTCCAGGCTCTCATACTTCATTCTCTTCCTGAGAGTCCAGTTTCTACATGACTTTTCTCTCAGTTCAGAGCACTTCGGAACTGTCTTCCTAAGATAGCTCAAACCATGCCTCTCCCTTCCCCCGGATGTTCTCTCTACAGAATTCCTTCTGCTACCATGTGCTTAGCTTTCTAAAATGACAGTTGCTAATCACTGCCAAATATCACCAGCCAGTAATCACTTACTTTTTTGAACTTTATTCAACAATAATACAAAGAAAAGTATAGCTAGCCCTCTGAATCTACACATTCTGCATCCTATGGACCAGATTGGATTTAACTAATCATAGACCAAAAATAATTTTTAAAAACTGCAATTCACAGAATATGTACACTTTTTCCCTTGGTCTCTACATGTTAGATTGGTTTCCACTCAAATATGACAAAACATCTGAGATAATCAGTTTGAAAAGAAGAAAATTTAGTTTGGCTCAGGATTTCAGAGCCTACAGTTCAAGGTTAGCCCAGTTGTACTATGTGTTGTATCTGTACTCTGACTGGTTTACTCAGTAGTAAGTCCAGAGTTCATCTGTTGACACAGGCATTGTTATAGCTTGTGTCTAGATGTCCCTCCAAAGATTCATTCATCAGAGAGAGGCAGGATTTTCAGAATTGACTGAATCTAGAGTTTGTGACTGGTTTAAAGTTTAATGCTAGGATTAAGGTTCTGAGTGCTACTCCTGCCCTAGGTTAGGTAGCCTGTATACAATATAAGGGACAGAAGGAGGCTTGTCCTTTGCTTCCCTTGCTGACTTTTGCTGTCTTCTGCCACTATGAAGCTGACCAAAGGAAGCAAGTGTCTCCAATTGCAGCCTGTGGGCACATGGGACATATCTGGCTTTTCTCCCTGCCTGCATTGATTACCTATGGAAAGCAAGCTGTCTTGTGGTGGCAGGTGTGAAGGGGTGGATCTTGCTGTTTGTCCCTGCTCATGCTGGCTGCCCACAGGAAGCAAGCTTTCTGATGGTGGTGTTGGCACACAGTTGTGGGTCTGGATACATCTCGCTGCTTATTTATATTAATATTATTGTTTTACAAGTCAATACACCCACTTTATATCGCAGTGGTCACAGTCAATGTGTCTGTCTAGATGATGATCTTAACTGGAGCTTATTTCAGGGATAGGATTTATATATAAGCATCCTGGAAAAAATAATGCTGAAGGTTATTTTCTAGTTAGGTCTAATTTTCTGGAATATATGGCACAGGAGTCCTGTTCACAACATAGTGGCTGGGAAGACAAAAATGAGCAATAGGAGACAGCCACAGTCCCAATACCACCATCAAGCACCTCCCCAAATAACCTAACTTCTCACCTCCTGAAGATTCCATCACCTTCCAGTAGCTCCCCAGTCTGAGGGCCAGCCTTCAACTCATGGGGCCTTGGGGGATATTTGAGATCCAAATTATAGTATATTGTTTCCCATACAGTGCAGAATAAGAACTTTTTATATAGTATTTTATTGCATTTGGTATTATAATAATACAGAGAACACTGAATAAGTTTTTAATCAAAATATATAGGAATCATTTTAATGATAAAAAATAAATCAACGCCAATGAGATAGGTGTGGTCTTGAGCAACTGAAGGATGTATGGGCCAGCATAAGGGCCTGAGGAAAAATGCTTAAATGTGTCTGGAGATTCATAAATGCCTTATAAGTAAGCACTTGGTTTTCTGGAAGTCAGTTAATGTTCTCAAACTCTAGCATGTACCAGAAACAGCCATGAGCTTCATAAAGTACAAGTTTATGGGCACCAGTGAGTTGGGACTCTTCCTACTAAGGCCACACTACAACACTAGTGAAACAGATAGTGAGAACACACTCATGAACAACTATCTGGAAACGATTACATTTTAAATTGATATTTTCCCCCGTAGCATCAGCTATTTGGGAACATATGGGCCCGCTTGGTTACTCCCCCAGTTTACTGTCTACTTAGAACTGAGCTACTACAGATACAAGGTTACACTCTGGATTGAGGAAAAGACACAATGCTCCACTTTGCTCAGCACCAGCTCTTCCGGAAAGCCAGAGTCACTTGTAGTTTGCAAAATGAAGCTCTAATCCATTGCCTAATGGCACCTGATGGCTTAGGTTCCTGGTTTCCCTCTCATCACACCTCAAAGCAGTTCCAAATGGTATTATTGTTGTTGCTGCTAATGTCATTGTTATGTCTTTGCTCAGCTCTTTCTCTCAGAATTTCTGGGATTAAAATCAACTTTACTTCTTCCCAGTGAAATTCCTTCT